GTGCTCCGTTGTGTAAGTCCCACCAAGACAGGCATCTGTGTAGAGACCCGCTGTGCTTTGCTGAGGAGGAATTTTATTTAAATCTCTGGTTAAGAAGACTTAGTTTAATATACACAGACCCTGAGTTTTTGTTTAAATGTGTTACTGTTGTAAATATTTACTGTAGTAAGTATAGATGTGTATCATTTGTAATGACTACATGAAGTGCATCTCTGATTTATTTTCGAGGCTCTGTACTTAGAAGTGGAATTACTGAATGAAAGGGCTAAACCTTTTAAAGACTTTAAATAAATATTTAATATAATAAGATATTTAAATATATCAACAAATTATTCTCTAGAAGTTTCTTTTATTTATTCAGTTTATTTTCTCACCAGCTGTGTACAACTATTGGGTGTTATTAGGGCCTTATAAATCTGTTTATCTGATAAATTCACTCATTCCTTCAATGTGTATTTACCGAGCTCTAGTCGTGTACCAGAGTCATGGGACATATCAGTTAACAAAACAGGGGAAGATCCTTTTTCTCATGGAGTTTACATTGTAGTCAGGTGAGATAAACAATAATAAGCATGATAAGTAAATTGTGTCGTGTACTATAAGTATTGAGAGCTATGGAGGAAAGAACATGGTGGGAGAGGTGAAGAGCACTAGGGGTGGGGCAGGGTGAGAACAGAGAGCTGTAATTTTAAGTAGAGTGGTCAAGCTCATTTGGTCCAACACTTACAAGAGGTGAGAGAGTTAGCCAGGTGAATATATGGGTGAAGGGAATTCTTGGCAGTGGGACAGCCAGGGTAAGGGCCTTCACACTGAAGTATGCCTGGCTCATTCAGGGAGAGGCAGTGAAGCTGGGGTGGCTAGAGCAGAGTGAGGTCAGAACAGTGGAAGGATGGAGCACATGGTGTGACCCGAGTGTGGGAGGATCTCTCCAGTTGCTGTGAGGAGAATAGACCACTAGGATGGGGGTAGAATAAGGAGACCAACCAGGCGGCTATTGTAATCCAGTGGGGGAATGAAGGTGGCAGCAGCGGAGGTGCTGAGAAGTGATCGCCTTCTGGGTAGATTTTGAAAGTAGTGCTTAGTCGATTTCCAGATTGGATGTAGAGTGTGACAGAGAGGTTGAAGATGGCTCAGACTTTTTTGGGTGAATTTGTAATGATTTATTCTCTCTCTCCTTGATTGTGGGGACCGTATCTCTTTCGCTCACATGTTACAACCATCCCTAGTTTATTCCTAGCATGTAGTAAGTGTTCAAGAATACTAAATAAAAATAGGTGTCTTCAAATTCATTATTTCCTTCTTTATGATTTTTGCCTTCACTTTTCTGCTTAGAAAGGTCTACTTATTTCGTTTTATATTTTCCAATGTTTTAAGCCTTCTGGAATTTATCTTGGTGTGATGTAGGGATCGTTATGATTGTTTTGGTACTATTAGACAATTTGTTGACAATATTTTTCTTTAGATTTAAATCACTATCTTTATCATATTCTGAAATGTTTAGATTTATTTCCGAATATTTCATTTTGGTCCACTGGTTGATTCTGTTTGATACTATTTTAATTATTATAATTAAGTTTTAATATTTATCAAATGTTAAAACTTAATTATAATAATTTGTCAAAGAATTATGTTTTCAGAATGCTACCCACTTTTTCATGTGATCTGTTGAGTAATTTAGTGAAAATAAAAAAGTCAGTTGGCATTTCGATTGGCATTGACTGGAGAGAATGTTCACTGAGTCTTCCTATTCACAAATACAGCATGTCTTTCCATTTATTGAAATTTTTTTTATTAATGTTTTACTTTTGTAAAAATTTTAATAATATTTTGCTGACTATGCAAAAGCTATATGTAGGTGAGCTGTGTAGTTGTGATTATTATGTAGGTGAGCTGTGTAGTACTGATTATTTTTGTTTCCTGCACATTGTTTATTGTGGATGCAAAAATTGCCTTTTTATTTTTATCTTCTAAGTTTAGAATTGTATATGTGTTCACCATTAATTCAACTTCAAATTCTCCTCAACTGTACATTCCAATGCTAGGTATTTTGTCAGTTTCATCCTCCTTCCCTCCCTTCTCCAAAATTTTATTTTTTGTATTGTCTAAATCAAATTAGATCAGCTTTGAGCACCCGTTCTCCAAGATAGTAAGAAGTACTATGTCAGGCATCATCCCGCTGCGTTTGTGATCCTGGTCCTTAGTCTTCCCTCATACCCTTGCAGTTGTTACAGACTTGGAGTTCTGTCATCTCTCTTCTCCTGTGTCCTTTATGTTCTCATGAAACACTGGGAACCACAAAAGAGCAGTTTGCCAAATAAGGTTAAGTTTCACATATCTCTATTAAGTTCTCGATAATTCATGTAATCACCCATCCCCACAAAAGTCAGTATCATCTTAGAAATCTCTGAAGTCTCTGTTAAACCCATCAGTTTGGACCGGTGGCTCTCCGGGCTGGTTGGATGACCCCTGACTTGGGATTCCTCTTCATTGTAGTGAGAACTCCCTTTCCCTCTCACGGTACATCTGTAGCTCAGACTCATGACTAATTCTTTCTTGGTTTAGTCTCTTGTTTTGGTGTAGAGCGTACCTTCCAGAATTTTCCTGAGGAAGGCTCATTGTTTTTGAGATCTTAACATGTTGGAAATGTCTTTATTTTACCTGACTTTGGGCATAAAATTCTAATTTGGAGATCATTTTCCCTCAGAATTTTAAGAGCATTGCTCCATCGTCTTTTTTTTTTTTTTTTTAAGTATCTTTATTCACATTCACATATTCTTTCACAATGAGACTGTTTCCTTTTAACTTTTGGGTGTTCTCGTATTCAAATCCAGAAATAAGATGTATTCAAATAGATTATTTGATCCTGGTCCTTAGTCTTCCCTCATACCCACTCCATCCTGTAGGTGAGTAAACAGCCATTTCCTACACTATCATTCTGTCTTTTTAACAGAAGATATTTATACCTTTTGGGCAAGCCCCAAACTTGCTATGACATTGCTCTGTGGTCATTTTGCTTTCTGATTTGCTGCCCATTCTTATCCTGATCCCAGATCTTTGTACGTCTCTCCAGCCCCACAGCCACACCTCTCGGAAGCCTTGGAACCTTCTCCTTACTCCAGCCTTCTGGAATTTGTGTTTTTCATTTCTTCCACATCTCAGGAATCTAGTTTCCCCTTGCCTGAAGAATTCCTGTAGAATATTTCCTTTAGTGTAGAATCTGCTGGTGACATATTCTCTCAGTTTTGTTTAAGAATAAAAATGTGCTTTTAACTTAGGATTCTAGGTTTTGCAGTTATTTACTTTAAACACTTTGAAAATATCCCATTATCTTCTGGCATACAGAAGGTAATGATCTGTTTCTATTAACAGATCAGCTACTAGTGTTACCTTTTTTTTTTTTTTTTTAAAGTATTATGACCCTTTTTTATTTTGTTTTGGGTTTTCAGCGTTTTACTATAGTGTGTCAAGATGTAGTTTCCCAGTATTTATACTGCTCGGCTCTTCTGTAATCCTCTCCTCTTGAGTATGGGCTGCATTTATTGACTTATTTCTAATTAATAGAATGTGGCAGAAGTGATGGGATGCCATATATTTTTTTAATTGAGATATGATCAGTATATAACATCATATTTTAGGTGTGCAACTTGATGATTCCTTATATGTATATGTTGTGAAATAACCAACACAATAAGTATATTAACATCCATCACCATTTATAGTTACAAATTTTTTTTATCAGAAAAGTGTTAGTGCTTTTAAGATCTACTCTTTCAGCAACTTTTAAACATAAAATACAGTATCGTTAACTATAGTCACCATGCTGTATATCACATCCCCAGGACTGATTTATTTTATACCTGGAAGTTTGTACCTTTTGATCATCTTCACCCATTTCGCCTGCCTCTGGCAACCAGCAATCTGTTCTCTGTATCTACGAATCCAGTTTTTTCTTTTTTAGATTTCACATGTAAATGAGATCATACAGTATTTGTTTTTCTCTGATTTATTTCACTTAGTGTAACACCTTCAAAGTCCATCCATGTCATGGATGGCAGGATCTCTTCTATTTTTATAGCTGAATAATATTCTATTATATATATCACATTTTCTTTATCCGTTCATTCATTATGGGATACTTAGGTTGCTTCCATATCTTGGTTCCTATAAATAACGTTGCAGGGAACAGGAGGGTGCATATATCTTTTATCTTTTGGAGTTGGTATTTTTGTTTCCTTCAGATAAATACCCACAAGGGAAATTGCTGGATCATATGGTGGTTCTGTTGTAAATTTTTTGAGGACCTTCCATACTGTTTTTTACAGTGGCTGCATTCCCACCAACAGTGCACAAGGGTTCTTTTTACTCTACATCCTTGATAACACTTTTTTCTTGGAATTTTGATAATAGCCATTTTAACAGGTGTGAGGTGATATCCCATTATGGCTTTGATTTGCATTTCCCTGATGACTAGTGATGTTGAGCACCATTTCATGTACTCGTTGGCCGTCTAAATGTCTTCTTTGGAATAAAATCAGTTCAGAGTCTCTGTCCATTAATCAGATTGTTTGTAGTTTTGCTATTGAGTATGAGTGCTTTATATATTTTGGATATTAACTCCTCAACAGATACGTGATTTGCAGATATTTTCTCCCATTTGTTAGGTTCCTTTTTCATTTTGTTGGTGGTTTCTTTTGCTGTATAGAAGCTTTTTAGTTTGATAGAGTCCCACTTGTTTATTTTTGATTTTGTTGCTTTTTCCTTTGGTGTCAATGTCACTTCCGAGGTGAGATTAGAAAGATTATGGCTCTGCCTCTAGTGCTCTCTTTTGCTATCTCTTGGGTCATTCGCCCTGGG